ATTTTGTAGGTTGACTGTAGTTTCAGTTTGATCTTTAACTCATTGTACCTGACAATTCTTAGTGAGTGTTTACGACGATGAGATATACCACCTGTTACTTCATTTTTCGATATGGATACACACACATACGACGAATTAGAATTATTTACAACGTGAATTTTATTCAAAAAATTTGAAAAAACAATCAAATACAACGCATTGATAGCATTATTATTGACCCTGTTATTCTACCCAATAGATTGAATGGCGAATTTTGTTTAGAATTAGGTGTGCCGTTATTGCTCAGAGGTAACATGTGGTTTATGCATGATGGAGTTCCACCACATTTCACTGTCAATGTCCGGCAGTATCTGAATCAAAGATTCCCTCGTCGATGGATCAGTAGAGGGGATAAAGTTCCTGTTAACTAGCCTGTTCGTTCACCAGACTTGACATGTTGGGACTATTATCTTTGGGGTACTTTGAAAACAACAGTGTGAGTGTATGCTTCCACACCTTACACTGAAGAAGAGTTGTGGGGGACATATCCAAATTGCCATAAATGTTTTAAAAAATTTCCCTCAAAAACTGCAAAGGGTTTCCTTTAACATTCTTCGTCGAATTAACCTTTGTTGTAGAAACAACGGTGGTTATTTTGAACAGTTTTTATAATAAGTTGTACTAAATTTAATAACATCAACTTTGTTACTTTTAATTCCAGCATTTTTTATTGTATTTGATTGTTTTTACTAATCATCTCACTAAAATTGGGCATGTCGAAGTAACATGTGGTATATCTTATCGCAGTAAACACTCATTAAGAATTGGCACGTACAATGACTTAAAGATCAAACTGAAATTACAGTCAACCTACAAAATCAGTGCCTACTAGCACTGTTAAGTATTGTAATATGGGTGGCAAGATAATGTAGACATTTGAAAAATATTTTTTTGTACCCAAACCGCTCATTTAATCAAAATTCTACAAGAGGCCCAAAAAACATTCAAATGGTATTATCTATCAAATAAAAAATTGTTGTAATTATTGCCCGAAAGAGGAAAAAGTTATGAACGGGTATTATCACCATACATCAATTTTGTAGGAGTTGTAAGTTTTAAAAAACTCGGTATATCTATACAAAATGTATAGATTGAAAGCAAAAGTCCACACCCCAAAAATAATCGCAATCGAATAATACGTATTCGAGTTATTTACAAAATTCAAAAAATTTTCACAAACTTTGAGGCCATCTAGCGGCCAAATGAAGCGATTTCGGATATAGATGAATTAGCCTAAATCTGCCTATTTTGAGTCCATGAATCTGTGGTCTTCCGTTACATACGTTATTCTGGGATACCCTGTATAAGGCATGGAGCTTATTACCTGCAAGTTTAATATAGTGCATATTTATGCTTTTCCGGAATTAAATTTTCTAATCAGATCTTTAAATGTCTTATTAAGAAAAAAATACTGTACTATAAACGATGAGTTATAATAACCCATTGTATTATAAATAAATAACATTTTTAAAATATTTTTTCCTTATAAAGAGATAATTGCACAATCCACAAAAATTTGTTTGACTCCAAGGAGGGCTCCTGAGAGATAAAATGAACAAAATGAAAAAAATATCAAATAATTTATATTAAAAGGAAAAACATTCAGCAACTGTTAGGTAACTGTTTTGCATTCGAAGGTAGATAGTGATTGTTTTCGAACATTTCCTATAAACCAAGGAAAATCGTAAACATCTAAAAACTGTATTAGTGTTACCGTTACAATAATCTCTCACAGTGATTATGTGTTAAATTTCATATAACATCGAAAAAAGAATTGAAATTTATGAAATGTAGGCAGAAAAATTAAACATTTGATATATGTTTTTGTACATAGTGCTAATTACAAACCGTAGAGTATCTTATGATCTCGACCGTGTCAAAAGTTAACACAAAAAAAGCTATTGTAAACTCTTGCAGCTATAAGAATTTTTAGAAGACGGTAAATATCTCAGAAACGGAGACAAGGTAAGGTAATTTTTTTTCGTCAAATTCTGAACCTGCAAAAATAAAGAAGTTGCTTTATAACCGGAAGTCGATAATAATTTAAATGAAACTATGGATAAACTCCCATATACAAATTCAGTTGTGATTTCTTCCCCAACGTACTAGTAAAGGTTGTCATTACATCCTGTTGCATACTGTAAAAAGAAATAATATACTGTGATAAGAATATGTTCAACATTGTGTGGTTTGGAAAAGATTTATAAGTCATACAAATAAGAAGAAGGTGAGCCTATCATGACATTCTTTTTTAAATTTCATCAAATATGCCGTTCTAATTACACAAAGTATTACAAAATGGCTTCCCACTACTACTTTATTATTGTGTACTATCAAATTAAGAATTTCCTGATACCTATTTCTTAACGGTTTTAAACGCTAACTTACAAAGTTTCTTGACTTTGATATATCGGAAACACCTCATATTTGAAAATAACTATCCATCAAGAACAAGGTCGGTGCGTTTGGCATGTTACACTCTAGGATACTTTGATCGGCAAGCAACAAACGCATTATTTCCTATGAACCTTCGACACGCATAACCCAGTTCAAATGTAACTTACACTTATATAATAACAAGAATCAATATCTACAAAATGGTCAAAAATATAGGTATAAAGAGAAGAAATAAATATATTGGATTACATATTTTCAGATGATTTATAAATATTTCTCAACAGATCGTTTATAGTTAATATCATGCTCTACGTTAGAGAAAAACTATGACATGGTTTTTGAGAACACTTCATAGATATTCTCCCATCGATTTTTTTTAAGCAATAATACCCAGTAAACAAAAAGTATACGAGTATAATATAAATATATTTTTTGATCGTTTAATATAGGAACACCCTGTCAAAAGCTAAACTAAATATATCTATAAATAGTTAATTAATGATTATTTTTATAGGTGATCTGATCCAAAAACTTTCTTGCGGCAAAGTATTAAGTATATACTGTGTTAAATATACAGGGTGAGTCACAACTTATCCAAAAGGATTTGGGATGAAAAATGGAGTCAATATCGTAAAAAAAATTGTAAAATCTTTATAGTTTCCGCGAAAAAAATTATTGAAGTGCTATTAGCGCTTTCCACCATTACATCGATAACTGTAGTCTCTAATGTCATCCTCGTGCGCTTTATAACACTATGCTGAAACTAATTAGACAACATTTTTCCGTATAGGTGGACAGGGCGAAGAGGATCAATTAAACGGCCACCTAGATCTGCAGATTTACCTCCTCTAGATTTCTTCTTATGGGGATACTTGAGAAGTAAAGTATACCAAAATAGACCATAAAATGTAGATGCATTAAAAGAACGCATTCGGATGGAATTGGTACAAATAACTCTAGAAGTTGTAGACAAAATTCGAGAAGAGTTTACTGCTTATCTTTCTCACTATATTACAACTGAGTCTCGTCAATTTAAAAATCTTGGGTTGTTAAAAATACCTATATTTGTTATGTAACTTTTTGGCAGAATTTTTTGGCAATGTACAAAATTGTAATTCTAACCTAAACTTATTGATATGATTGAATGACCCACATTTGTATTTAATAAAAAACATCGACGAGTTCATCACTGTCCAGCAAATAACGTCATACGTAAAACAAATATCTCGCAGAACACACTTCTAAAAATGAAAACTGACCTGATTTATCCAAAGTCACAAATTTAAGAAATAATGATTTTGTTCCTTTCATTTGTACCATACGTACAAACTGACTCAAAAGTGAAAATTTGATTGCACTACAAATGTGTTATGTACTACATTTTTAGAAAAATCTTTTGGAAAGTTTCTTCTGTGCTAAACAAAATAAGTTTTTTCGTTTGAAAGTTAGTTTAAAGTTTTCTAAAACAAGGCATACCTATATGTGATAAACATTCCAGCACAAAAAATCAACTCTAAAAGAATCTTTTGCAAACTCATATTTCAAGGACGGAACGTTTTTGAGGCATATGAATCTGTCTTCTTAAAATAATCTGAGGAGTTACATACCTTTTCAACAGTTTAGCATTTTAGGTTACTTAAACCGGTATATTCAACCAGAGCTAATTCGGATTCAGCGACCCCAAAAACATATAGATACCAGGGTTTTGTCTTTCGGATATTCCACCTTTTTTTGTGGGGCTGTGTAAAAAATGTAATTTATTAAATACGTATTTACCTAATACCTACATATTCTTTTTATTCTAATTTTGATATTACTAATACTAGTCCTGTAGCCAGAGGGGTCCCAATTGTCTCCTTCATTTAGATGGAGTTAACCAAGTGTTTTTTGTGTATTTTGAGCTGCAGAACACGAATTTTTTGGGTAGAAGTTTGCCCGGATGTCGATAAGTTTTTTATTAACAAAATACTGCGAACTTAGTTTTTGGCAAAATAAAATGTATTTTCTAGTTCTTTGACCCATTTTAAGAAGAAAATGTCTCTTGCAATTTTTTTGTTAAACCATAGTTTTCGAGATAAACGCCGTTAAAAACTCGAAAAATGCGAATTTTGCGATTTTCAATCGTTAATAACTTTTGATTGAATGATAATAATAATTCTGCTGACGACGTTAAATACTACAAATTATGAGTAATTGCAGTGTGAAAATTTGTTTTTTCCACTGTTATTTGAAGCTATAAACTATAAATAAATAGCGATTGAACATTCAGAAAAGTGCGCCGCCAGTTCTACCCAAAAAATTCGTGTTCTGCAGCACAAAATACACAAAAAACACTTGGGTAACTCCATCTAAATAAAGGAGGCAATTGGGACCCCCTGGCTACAGGACTATACTTAGATTCAGTTCAAATAATCTTGAAAATTCTTCTATTGTACAAACACAAAACCCCATATTTCGTAAGCAAAATGTTTTGTATAATTGCATATCTAATTAATGAGTATTCAGTATCACCATCGGTTGTGGATATCAAATTAATAACAACCTGTTTTTATGTTCACTTTCAGACAATAACAATTACGGAATTAAAAAACCAACAAATAATTTGATCGGAACAACGCTCTTTTCAAACTGCCCTGCAACTTGGTAAACAAGAAAATAAATGGAAGATTGTAACTTATAGGTATGTATTTATTAAAGTTTATCGCAATTTGTTTTTTAAATTCACTGACACTGTGTCCTTGTACGATTAATTACTGTACTTTTCAGATTAAGCTCATTTGTAGTTGGTATAACTAACTAGTAATGAGTAAATATTGAAGAAAGATTTCTGAATGGTTCTTCGTGCATGGTGAAAAACGATCGAGGATGTATTTGGAATATTTTCTGGTCATTGCTTCTCTTTCATTACGCTTAACGGAAGGTAAGTGTGTTTTTTATATTGTCATACGTAAGTGGCCGTAATAATAATGATGTAAATATAAAAATTTCAGTTAATAATTTACATTATTTTGAAATAAAACAAATAGATATTTTATATTTCTTCCGTAATAATACAGATAGTTTCATAGATAAAAATTAGCCAATAAATTCTATTTAGATATTACAATGTTGTTGCTTGAACTCGAAAGCCAAAAACTGATCGCAAAACATATTCTTCCAGTCGATATTCGATTGTTGTTAACTTTACTTATATATAATAATTCAATAATTGTCTCATAATAATTACTTATAATGCAATATATAAAAAAATATACCGTGTGAGTATAAAGTTCCACATAAAATTCATACCATTTCTTATAACGTTTTTAAAAAATTATGCAAAAACACCTCAATTAGTAAATTTAGTTAGTTTTCTTTTGACGTAGGTATATTAGCCATAACTTTATACTTACACGGAATATTTTCAATTTATATGCAACATTTTACATTTGTATATAGTTTTATCCGATCTACTAGATAATACTACATGAAAAACAAACCTTCATTATTAAAAGTGTTCGTAGTTACCTTACATTGTATTATCGAATATAATATATAAGTTTATTTTTATTGCACTGAACCTTATTTTTTAGGTTCAGCTTTGCATGGACACTGCCTCTCAAATGAAGACTGTGGAACAATTGATACTTACTGTAAAAATGAAGTCTGTGTATGCAAAGAGAGTTTTGCAGTGTGGTACGACAGCTGTGTACAACGTAAGTACTCTTTTCAGTCACTGAGTTTTGCGTGCCCTGTATAATACTAAATCCTACTAAAAAGTTTAATAAAATTTTCCATACTGAACGACACAAAATATTAGACACTGAATATTACTATAAATATTCTATATAACATGAACTGAAAATTTTACATCTCTTCTTACTTATGAAATTCGATTGAAATCCCCGATCGTAACATATTATTTCATCAAATACCTAAATGCTCTGATGCTTATTCTTTGGAAGAATCGGTGTCCTTTTTACTGTCAGAACTAATCTATAAAATGTGGTACATATTTTCCGCTTCTAAGTCCATTTAGTCAGATCAGTTCTCGTAGAGAGTATTAAGAACTGATCACATTATAAGTGCATACCGCGTGTCCACTCTTACTACTATAATTGAATTTCTAAAGTTGACATAAATTATGTTCAGATGGTTTTTTATGATAACTCCAGACCTTTTATAGACGACACATTTATATGGACAGAAACCAAAAATTTACTGGGTTAAGATTACATCATGACCATGGATAAACCAAACGGCGACAAAAAGTTAATGGTCTACAGACTACACACGAGCTGCCCACATTACAGGTGCTTTACGTAAAGCTAAGGAAGCGATAATTTGTTAAAATTCCTCAAGTGCATTTTTACTAAAATTGACGTAGTCGGCAACGCTCGATTAAAAAATTAATATACAGGGTGGTCCCGAGGTAATGGGCCAAAATTCATGGGCAGATTATGCAAGTAAAAATATTGCGATTTAAAGTTAGTTTTTAGTTAAAGAGATACAGGGTGTTAAATGTAAAATTTTATTTCAGTTTTTTTTTAATTTATTCCTTAACAAATGCAAATATCCTCACAAAATTTTGGGGATTGGAGTTCTTTGAGTAGAAGAATTGAAATCTGTTCGCATTTTGGTTAAAGTTCATAGAGGGCGCTAGCTGCAGTAGATTGACTGTATTAAAAACTACAGAACTTTTTTTGTACTTTAAGATATCTCATCTTTGGTAATAAATTCTTATTTTTCAATTTGTTTTACAAAAGAGGTGTACTTTATTAAAATAGCTATCTCGCATCGTTTTCGAGATATTTGGCTATGAAACCCCAAGCCCCAAAATTTTGTGTATATATTTGCATTTATTAAGAAATAAATGGAAATAAACTAAAATAATATTTTACATTTAACACCTTGTATCTCTTTAACTATCAACTTTTGGACTAAGGTAAGTTCGGCTAAATTGCAATATTTTTGCTTCGGGAATCTACCCATGAATTTTAGCCCATTACCTCGGGACCACCCTGTATATTTAACTTTATAACCTCTCCCTCGGCAATCGTATTGTTTATTTGTTGGTTATTTCGAGAAATAGATAGATATAATTGAAGCAAATGTCTATTAAATATTTATCAATGTTATACTAAGAATAATACATAAATTTAAAAAATATTGTTTATATGTTCATACGAATTCCAAAATTATTCTTAAATTTTAAACAAACGAAGATACTTATACATAGACACTTTTTTGATAATGATAACCAAATCTCTAGAAAGTTTGTCGTTAGTAATCAATCATTTTTGTTTTAATCTAACTATCGAAAATTTGTTGCTATTATAGATACATATAGATTTCGTTTTCTACATTATTTTCCATTTTAATTAAATTTTCAAGGTATCAGGTATATCACTCTTTATTTCAATGTATTATTTATATTTTTAGCGTATCATTTTGGTAGCAAAGTGTAAGTAGATATCACTTCATTTGAAGGAAATTTAAGAATATTTTCTTAATCGATTTGAATTATTTATTAAAAATACAATAACTTATAACAAAGAACAATTTTTTTATTTATTTACTTATATGAGTAGCACTTTAATTACACATACACATAAAATTATAAAAAACAATACACGTGTTTGTAAAATCAGTTGTTCAACTAGTGTTGAACAAGAAACTCTTTAGACCTTATTTATCTTCGTAACTGCACATTATAATGAGATATTTATTCCCTAAGTAATTAATAAAACTTGTTGACATATTGTTTGCTAATCATAATTCCCTTACTCGGAATCGAACGTAACATCACAACAGTGACTGTGATAAAAAATATATTGCTTTGATGAATACTTTATAGTGTACGTCATATGTGATATACAGAAATCCTAACTCAAGAAGTTAAATAAAAATTGTTCGGAAGTTAAACTCATCAATTTAACATTAATTTTTATATCGCCTACAACATTTGACATATTATATAATACAGGATATGCTTACACAAACATATATTAAAATGCATATTTTGATGTAGCAATTTTACTATTTTTTATATTATTTCATTTTTAAAAAATATGTTTATCTTTACAGGAAGATATCGAACTGTTTTTTCGAATTTCATCCACCAGTAAACCTTTTTAAAATTAATTATATACCAAGTATCCTACTTTAATGGAAACTACTTAAATAGCCCGGCAGTTACTTGTTACATGGGTTGTATGAAAATTTGTTTTTCAAATTAATATTTTGTATAACTTTTTTTCTGAATTAAGTGATATTTTTTCAAATTTGGTATACCTACTTGTTTATTCATAATAAACACAACCAACGACAAAATGTAAATTCTGAAGTCCTAAAGAGATTATTGATTAGGAAAATAATTATATTTTTATATGCATTTTTTTTTTTTCAAAATATTTAACAACTTAATTTCTCTTGCTCTATTTATACTGCAAAATAAGTACATTTGAATGGTTTTTTGGGGTTGTACTTAAACATCAAGTTTTTTTCCAAAGCGGTTAATGTTATGGAAATTTAACAAAGTAGCTTTTTGTGAGGTTTCAATTATATTATAAACTAAAAAGCTTAATTTTTAAAAAAATCACAAATAAAAACTGATGATTAATTTTCTAATTAACAAGGGCCACTTAGGACTTCACAATTTTTTGTCGATTTTTTTTATTTTTTGGTAGGTGCAGTTTACTGTTAATAATATTTGTGCAAAATTTACAACCAATTGCTTAACTGAACAAAAGAAAGTTATAGCAAAATATTTATTAATCGAGTTACATCGAGTTTTCGGAAAAAATCACATTCAATTTTTTTATAAAAAGTGTTTCAAATAAAAGTTACAACATTCGTCCAGGGGTAGAAAGGGTGGTATATCATTTTTTTTATTTACAACCCTTCAAAGGCATTCGAAGGGCAACTTTTTTTTTCAAATCCAGTCTTACCCAAAACGATTCAAATTAGCGTTGATGAAAATAGCTAGACATTTGAAACACTTAATGTTATACCTAATACTGCATATTAACAACAATTTAAAAGGGTCACAGGCCACAAGGATTAAGAAAATTCCCTTTTAATAATCCAACAACTTTTTTAATAAAATAATCAAACATGCCCGAAATGCAGGGTGTCCCACAGTGACGAGACACTACACAGATTTGAGAGACGACTACTTCCATTTTAATTAAAGTTCACTGTATGTGTTAAATTGACAACAATAAACTGGTGACAGATTAGGTGCTTATTTTGAAGTTCCACTAAAAATTTCACAGCCATCTTCGCAAGAAATTATGTGATATCCGTTGACTGCACGAAAAACAGTAAATACCTTAAAAACCAGAGATAGGTATAGGGAACCATTATACCATTCGAAAGAGAACAAAATTGACGTAGAATCCAGAATTGCAATAATACACAGGGTGTTTAATATAAAATAACGAGGATGACATCAACTTCCGGTATAACCGGAAGCGTTAAGTGGATGCCATTATTTTAGTTGAGAAGGATACGCCCGAAAACACTATTGCCCAAATTTTCTAAATTAAAATCGAAGTAGTCTCTGAAATATGTCTAATGTCTCGTCACCGTGGGACACCCTGCATAGATTACTCTTTAAAAATACCAAGTTGTCCTTTGAATGCTCTTAGAGGACTGATTTTTAAGAAAATTGATATCGTTTCCTCTACCGCTACAACATTATTTCAGTTAGTTTTTTATACAGAATGTTTTTTTAAATCCATGCTATAATTTCAAGGGCAATACCCCTGGACTATTTAATGCTAAATAGTTTTAATGAAACCCAAGTCTAAAACCACTGGTTTCAGAGGTGAAGGGTACTAAAATTAGAAGAAATTCATATACTGTCGTTTTCAAATATGTCTGGATATATTTTATGAAAATTAATTAACCTTAGGCTAGCTAGCAGTTTAACTAAGGTAAAAATACTCCGAATAGGTGTACAAATATATTATCAGTTTATTTGACATGCAATTATATTTTCCTTTTTGTTCGAAAAACGCGTTATTTTGTGGTTATTTCTTTTTCCAATTTAAAATTAGCTTATCAAACAGTTTCACAAAAACTGTTTACAGGAAATTTTTTCTTTAAAATACAATTTTAAATAAAATATAATCATCGAAGTCCAACAAAATCATTGTGGCAAAAATGTTTTTAGAAATAATTTGAAATACAACTAGGAATTAAATGCCCTAAATAAATTTCATAAAACTCAAAGACAAAGGCCACTGATTAACATATTTAAAACCAATTCAATTCAATTCAGCGATTTATTAGGCCTTTAATTAGTTAAACCACTGCTTCAATCTACGTAAAACATCTTCACAGATATTTGGAAAAAATTTAATATTTTTGTTAATTTTAGCGCCCTGTATCCGGAAGCCACTGGTTTTATACCCCCAGTCCATTAAGTTTTTTTGGTCTACAGTGGACCAAGAAATGCACCCCTGAATTTATTACAGGGACTTAAAAATAATTTTTAAGATAGCTGTTTCCACACTGTAAGAAAATTTCACTTAAATTTCACTCAATTTTACTCAATAATGTATCAATTTCTGTCCACACCCGACTGAGTGAAATTTTCCCTATTGGTATAAGTACAACTGAGTGAAACTATTGCATCAGAAATGAGTATTTTACTCAAATCTGAGTTACTGCTTACTATTAATGGAGCGACTTTTGACACTATTCTGAT